TGAATTTAATGAAAAAGAAATTTAAAACGACAAATCTACATATTTAACATAATTTTTTCGGTACCATTTAGTTCAAAATAAGTTTCATTAATCATTGTGGCTATATCTGTCAAAGAAATTCGATCAAGAACCTAGCAAGTTATAGCTGCATTTTCTAGGAACGACACGAGAAGAATAAGCAACAAAAATTATACTCTAGTAACACCTGAACGTAAAATCCCACATTTGAATCTTTATTTTCTTATGAATTAACAATAATAATGTCACACACCTACACATACAAGATCAACAAAAGTTCTACACGACGATTAACTCAAAAACAATAGAAAAGGAATTCATAAAAGAGTTTAAAAGTAAATTAGTCTCGACAGAAAATAATATAAAAGTTTTTAGAATTTATGGTTTGAATAGAGAGTATGATCAGATCTATTACCAATTACGATGTGTTTTTTCTGACCTGAACTCTCACCTTTTTCGAAAACATCTAGTTGGAAGTAATCTCTGTCAATGTGGTATACCTGAAACAGTGGATTCTTCTTCATTGTCATTTATTTGCTCCTTATCGTACTGTGATGATGAATACTATCCCGACTTCATACCACGAAAAATTGGGATTGATGTTAAAAATCTGGTATTAAAAAATAGGTTTGAATATGATGAATACTCTGCAATCTATTCTACTGTTATAAAATTCATTGAATACTCTAAACGATTTAACAGTTAACTTACTGTGCATATCCCCTACTTCTTCTACTCTTTCTTCCTATCTCCTCTCCTTTCTTTTTAACTCTCCTTTTGCTTTTTTAAAATGATAGTTTTTATTTTTTTGTTGTTATTCCGTTTGTCTATGTTGCGTTTCTTCAGATAGCCAGGTACAATCCTTTGCGATTCCCGACTATCTGTGATGCTTATTTCAACTGACTAATAAAATACAGATAAAACTAAACTACAATAGGAAAGAAGAAGAAATAACAACAAGCAATAACAAGAGCAAACGAAATAACAACAAAAAAATGAGTTTTTCGTCCATAACAATTTTCCACCAATGATCCCGAGTTTTTAGTGGATTATATTTTTTTTTTGATCTCGTAACAATCGAGCTATTGTACGAAAGACAGGTTTCGTGGTGCCGATGGTACAACTGAACTGAAGCTGCATCATCACAAACAGATGCTAAAACGTTCGATCAAGCAAGTGCATCATCTTTATCAGAATGTGCACTGAAGAGATTCTAAAAAAATATGTGCAGATTATGTAACGTAATCATGATCAGAGGTGAACAAGACAAAAGTATTATTTAAACTTCATTTCACAGCTTTTCTTACTAGATTTTTTCAAATGAGGTTTTATCCATTAGATGACACTATCACTGAACAATTTGCTGTTTTAGAGTTCAAGAGTACGTGGTGATGTAATATCTGCTTCACTTGTGTTTATTGGAATCAGAAAGTAATTGATTAGTAAGTGTGATTATTTTCGAGGTCGCTTTTCGAACATGAATAAATTTACTTTTAAGTGAAATAAATGGAAGTCAGATTCCAGACAAACACAGCGAAATACTGTAATGTAGCGAAATTTTATTTGCAAACCAACAGTTCTTTGAAAATAATAACACAATACATCATTCGAATTAGCTTTTCAAGCGCTACAAAACTGTATATCTGCTTTTCAAAAGAATAGAATTTTGACCCAGTTATGAATTTTTTTATGAAAACAGCCCAAGATGGATTAGTTCACCTAGTACAGGTTTTCACTCCGTTCTTTCACCAACTCCAGAAATTTGTTCAAAAACAGTTCCGCTTATAAAAATATAGGTTAAACTGTTATCTTTCTATTGCCGAAAACCGCAAGTCTTTATCATTTATTGTTGTTGAGTTATTTAGAAAACAAGTACCGTTCTTATATTTTGGGACTAACAGTAGTTTTTTAAGAGACTTGCCACAGATTACGTCGCAACGAACCACGATGAAGAGAAATTTTTGCTGACAAAGCTGTTCCTTAGATGTCAAATGAGGTACTGAGTACAATACTTTTTTTGAGTGTAACGGAAAAATTCTGAGAAAAATTGAGTTTTAAGCTTTTTAATAATTTTAAATTATTAATTTTAATTTTTCTCAAAATTTTTCCGTTACACTGAAAAAAGTATTACACTCATTACCCCTTTTGGCATCTAAGAAACAGTTTTGTCAACAAGCCTTTTTCTCCATCGTGCTTCGTTGAGCCGCAGCCAGTGACAGGGCCCTTAAAAAATACTAGTTTTCTAAAAAATCGACATTTCAAGAAAAAACAAAATTTTTGTTAAGCGAACTTCATTCAGAGTTCTTAATAATTTCAGGGTAGGGACAAGTAGGAATCCGTATAGGCTATAGATGCCATTTTGTATCGGTGCACGATCTTTTCTCTTTTATTATCCAAAACGACCTGCTTTTTTATGCGAAATCCTATTTAGGAAAAATGCTTGCGCGAAGCCACATATCCGACTTAGGCCAATCCTTTTTCTTTAATTTTTCTTTAATGATGTTTTTTTATTGGGATTCTATTGTAATCAATAGAAAGATCACTTTTTAGACTAAAGTGTGTAAAAAAGATGATCAAGAATCATAAATGTTATCTTCTCGAATGGCTTTCATTTCTAGATAATCTGTAAAACTTGATCGAGCTAGGTTTATCATATCGTTCGATTTCCCATCGGAAGCTGTACCAATCTGTATACTGTAGATGGCTCGTCTAACCCCTACTGCCATAATGGAAATTCTAGTAAAACAAGACATACCATTTTCTTAGTTTACAAGCCGGACTGCTTTTTCGGAAATACTTTACCTACCACAAATATCTGCAAAAAAATCTGTTCCTTATATTCATAAAAAATTTTTCAGCTAATTAGTTAATTAGTGAGATGATAATTAGCATATAACAGGGTGAACTTTATGAAGAGAAATCTGAAAGTTTCAGCACAACTTAGTGACTTTTAAACACACTGTCAAGAAGATTTTTAGCGAGATTGGGGACAAAAAAGTGGCTACTCAAACACACAGTTTTCAGAGATCAACATATACCATTCGATGCGCCTTGGCGTGTTCCGTCGAATGGTATATAACACTTAAACTATCTATAGATAACTATAACATTTTTTTCTTGACAACCTTTGGAACTTCGTAACTTCTGGAAAACTTCCTGGTTTTCCGTCATCGATGCACGAAGTGTAGGAAAAACATCACAGACAGTCAACATAGCTCTATCGAATTTAAGACTCGAATGCAAGTTTTTTTCATTTCAATATTTTTTTAGTAAACGCAATGACGTTGCAATTCACTCACTTATCCTGTTATATTACAATAAAGGATTTGGATCAACACATAAAAGGTTATGTGTCATCGACAATAATCAAACTATTCACTATGGTACACGTGTAATCTCTAAAATTGTTCTTCTTGGTATATGATTATATAGTATATATAAGAGTAAATATTATACTAATAAACCAATTAATGATGCCAACAATAATAGAATAAATAATACATTCCACATACCCGATGTTCGAGCTTTCCTATTCACAATAAATCGTTTAAGTGCACTGATTCTTTAGGTTATGTGATTAATCCATTGTTATGTACTCCTGGTTTGACTGCGTCGTAATGGAATTGAATACTGATGTAAATAGGAAATATTAGTTAAATTAAATAGGTTGTATTCATTGTATGAGCGTCTTCTAGACTTTGTCTTGTTTCTCCGTTTCTTTGCGATTCTTTTGACGCGTCATAAGTCGATCTACTAGTCAACAACACTTTTAGTTTAAATGTTATTGATCGTCGCTATATTGTTGCGACGTATTCGATCATGAATGGCAGAAGAAACCAGGTGTGAAACATGCACTGATAACAATTATAAAAATAATAGGTCAGAATGAAAAGAGAAAAATCATAGAAAGTATATTTAAAAGTCAAACATATCTTACTGTTGTTAAATATCAAGTAAATAGAGAAATTCAGCATAAAAAAGTCTGTCATTTTTTTGAGCATGTTATAGAAAATCTCAAAACAGTTTTTTGTATTAAAACGATATTATTGTAGAAAAAATGCATATAATTAATGTCTTACTTACTCGAGTTACTTCCACATCTGCATCGACTTTTGTCGCATAGGCTTGCTCGACTATAATCTAACAGCAACACCATTAACACTTTCAAAAAGGCGAATGTCAAATGACTTATTGCATCTACAATGATTTCTTCCTTCATTTCGTTATACTAACATTATGTTATGTTAATATTGTTGAGTCAAACTACTTTGTTTTTCTTTTTCTTTTTTTTTACATTTATCTTTATGACGTGATATAGAACTACTATTCATTTCAAAATATAATGATAGAATTTTTTGCATGACTTTTTTGGGTAGAAATGAGAACAACGATTCTTAACTAGGTATCCTGATCAAAAGATAATGGTTTTTATAGACGAGCTGGTAGTTCACCAATAAGTCAATTTTTAATCAGTTAGTTGAATAAAAATAATGTCAGTTCTATTCAAGTCTCTTGTTATTATTAATCTTTGAACCACTTGAAGCAGTAAAAAATCATAGCATTGATGTGCTACGGATAAAAACAATAACTACTACAATTTTGTTTCTTAATAAATACTTAAGTTAACAAATTTATCCTCAGAGATGTATCTTTATCTTTGTAGAGCGATTTGTTTAAATGATAGTACTTTTAATCAGAAAAAAACGGATTCAACATTTTTTTGCTAAAAAAAAACACACCAATACATTCTCGTGTAGAAGACAAAAATTAATTTCTTACAATAAGAAAACAATAAGAAAAAACAAACCAAAATGCGAGTAAACATTGTTTAACAACAATAACAACAAGATTCGATAAAAAAAAGACAAGAGATTCATGGCATAACAAAAAAAAAAATGTATAGTTGAGCAGTATTTATATACCGCTATTTGAATTGGCTCATATTCGAAGAAACAGCATTATAGATAGATAGTATTTTACGATCAATTAGTTTCATCATTGGTCAACACCGGCTTTAAACGTAAATTTAAATGTACTTGTTTGGTAACACGATTTTTAACGGGAAGAAAGACCATACATGGAACGAATGTATGAATAAATTTTGGATCATCACTTTCAAGTAAAAATGGTTGCAAACCTCCACTATCACCGCCATTCATAATTAATGTTTCATTCGTGAGATTTATTTGAGATGTATCTACATTTAATTTTGATAATTTAAAATCATTGGAGTTTGTTTTACGTTTTTTTATGTCCATAGAATTTTCTTGCTCATGAGAATTATTTACTTTACGTTTACCTGTTTTTTGATGATTTTGTTGGTCGGAATCAGAATAATTTTTTTTACATGCATGATTTCCATCAGCTTCATCCTCCTCCTCATCGTTCGATTCATTTTCGTTAATTGTTCCATTTTTTTGTATTAATAAACGTTTTTTATAGTCATTCGATAACAGATCAGAAAATTGATTTGTTCCTGATAATGCACTCATTATCAAAAACGGATTTTGACTAGGATTTTCTGTAATAGCAGCAGCAGCTTGCATAAATTGAAGTAATGTTTGATATGTATCAGCTAAACTTGGTGATGATGAAATGGCTATTTTAGAATCGGATAATGTTTCTGAAGTTGGTATTGATGGAGAAATAGCAGAACGTTTTGTATGTTTTTGATTACGTTTTAAACCATTTGTGTATGAATTTGAAATTAAAGATGGTGCTGTTGTCATGGTGATAGTAGTTGAAGAAGATGACAATGCTATAGGTAAACCATGAATATTTTGTTGATGAGTTCGAAGAAAATATTTCGAGCAAAATTCTTTTTTACATATAATACAATAGGCTTCTGGATCTATATTAGCTTCTATTAGATCACCACGATCCTCTGCTGTCAGTATCAAACTCGACATTGAAAATGATTCATTATTTACACCTAAAACATTAATGAATTTACAAATGAATTCTGACAAATGTAAGAATACAAAAGTTTTGATAGTATACATAGGATTTATTACAGAAAAGCTTGAATATTAAACTTCTCAAATCTTTAGATGATTAGGTTTTTGACTGATCAAAAATTAAATCATTTTCTCAAAAATACCTGTTGAACTAGTTTCATCTTCTTTGGTACTCTGTGAACTTTCATTATCATCGTTGAATGTTGCTGTTGTATCGTCTACAACTGCTGCTGTTGTACTTTGTTGTTGTGAACTGTTCATATTGACCATTGTTGGTGCAATATCGTTTGTAATACCGTGTACTTTTGCTTTATGTGTTTTTAAAAAATATTTATTACATACTTGTTTGTTACATATTTCACATACTACTCGATCGGCCATTTTAGCACAAAAATATGAATCGGCCATAATACCATACGGCATTGTATGTTCGAGTTTATGAGCTAAAACACTTGTTGTATCAACGTACGGACTTAAAAATGCTAATCGATCTAAATTATTTTTATTCGATGGACACATTTGCTTAGTATGATTACGTCCATTTTCCAACGATGTTGTTGAATGATGTTTATTGACGTGTATACGTAATAATTGTTTATTTTTAAACTGTTGATCACATAATTCACAACATAAGAGATTACGACGATCATTTAATTTGTTTTCTATAGATTCAACTTTTATTTCTTTCTGTTTAATAGATTCTTCTTCATTCTCGTTCGACTTGTGTTGTTCATTTAATTTTATATCAAGTTCATTCATATCTTCACAAAGTGTTTGTCCATCATGTTTTTCTGCTTCATCACATTCATTTTCTATTTTAATCGTATTAATATTATTATCATCTTTTGTCGAATGTTGTTGTTGTTCACTTGATGATGATATTTTTGAATGAATAGTAAAATTACTTGGTGATGTAAATGTTTTTTGAGGTATTTTTAAATCAGAAAATGTGTTTCGTGGAAGAAAAAATTGTGATGGATGAAGCATATAGGGATTCATTAATAGCATATTCGATGATGTAGCATCTAAAAATTAGAGAAATTATTTAATAAATGATGGTATAGATTTTTTTCTGCTTACTTTGACTAGATGTTGACGGTGTTGTTGGTGTCAAAATCGATAACGTATTAGTATTTTGAGTAGTACTCGGACGACCAGATTTTAATGGACTTTCACCACTTCTTTGCAATGATTTAATATAATCGGTATAAACACCATGTACCTCAGCACGATGTTTCTAAAATGTTAAAAGATATACAAGTGAACAAACAGTCATTATTTTTTAATAATAATCAAATCTTAATCTATTTGAAAAAAAATCATTTTTTCTTGTGTTAGTGTTAAACTCTTGATGGTAACTGTACAAACAAGAAATTTTTAATTTTCAAATGTCAGAGTCAACTTTTAGCAAATAATTATAGATATAGATACATGAATCGTAGGTCTTTTGCTTGAATGAATATTTTAATGATATTCTCATTTTCCTAGATGTTAGACTTTTATATCAATGGTAGATAAAAGATGTTTTATATGAGACAGAATTAGAGGCTTAGATAATTAACATTGCAAAAATATTACTTTTTATCCTAAATTGTTTGACGAATAGAATTGCAAATTTCGCCACGCGTTCTATTACATTGAAGTGCATGAGATAGTGTAACTATTTTCATTACACTAACTAGTCTAAGTAAAAGCTATACAACTAGTTTAGATAAAAGATTTCAGAAACAGTTTTTTCTCATATATAGCAGTTTTAACTGATTCTCATTTAACTTCGACTAATGAAGGATTTAATAAATAAAATAAATTTAAAACAGATTTTATTGAATAGTTTTCTCTTATTAATTGTGTCTTCATATGTTATTCTATATCTCTCCCATTGTGATAATAAACAAACATAAATGAAAGAATTTCGGTATGTTCGAAGTTTAATCCATTTGAAAATAATTCATTTTTTTATTCAATCATTTCTTAACGAATTGTTTATTTTACTTTAGGTTTTATATTGAGATTTTTTTTTCTTCCTCTTCTTCTTGTTATAATCAGAAGAATGTACGTATGTTTAAATCATCGTATATATATATATATATATCTAGGTTGCTTCTGGATAAATAAGCTTATTAAAAGTCAGATAAGCTTTTTTGTCGTGACTCTTTGAAGATGGGTACATACATATACGTACACGAGTCGAACTATTAGCAAGCCCTAAGTTTGTTTAACTCTGATCAAGAAATTTCAATATTGATATTAGAAAAGACGAAGAACAATTTTCTATCTCTCTCAAATGAAATTAAACAACGACATGATTCATATTCGCTCTTCTTCTTCTTTTTTTTTCCACGCTATGCGCGCGCGCGAGAGAGAGAGAGAGAGAAAAAGAAAGAGAAAATACAAACAGGAACTTTACTATAGTATATTTTCTAACGGTAATCCGTAACTAAATAGGCACATACATGTTTTATATGCAGAATCGCACAAATGTTTTGAATATTTAAAAGAAAACGATATTGATATAGATAGATCTAGATAGATTTTAAACAAAGAAAGAAAAATAAAAATGAACAATAAACATTACCGATGACCACTATTCTAAACAAATATACAAAAAAATAATTTACTTTAATTTTGATAATCGTTAACCTAGTATTTAATGAATATCATGTAAACATTCATAAACCAAAACAAGTATCTACATGGAAGAAACGTGATGATATAGAGATTTGATGATTTGATATAAAAGATCAATGTCTAATATTCGAACCATAGTGGATAACTTCATATTTTGAGAAATCTTTTACTTGAACAATTTTTGAACTACTGTTCCCTTCCTCATATAACAGTCTTATGACCTGAGAAATTTTATGAGTGCTATTTTTTAATGATAGTTGTAAAAAGCGAGAACAATCCTATTCAAAAACGTTTTAGTTATTCAGAAGAAAAAAATTTGCGTCTCAATTATATCATAGGTCAACATCATTTGGATTTTGTATCTCCTTCGAAAACATTAACAAGATCAATATTCATTCTTTTAAAATTTGATTATCATTGAGGTATAGTAAATTAGAGTTTGTTTGTATTATTTTATTTTTTCATTTTAACAACAATAAATGATTTTCAAATATGTGTATGTATGTATATTTGACTCTAAATAATGAAAGTTACACCCTAACGTAATTATGATTTCTGTTAAAAATGAGTCTTTTCTGTATATGGATGTACAGGAAATGAATGTTAATGATTATTAAACGATCAACGTATGGCAGATAGATGTGTTTTATCTTTGATTTCAATAGATTTCTAACACATGGAATGAAATGTTTACATTTCACAGCATCTTTACTTTTCTATTTCCTTTTGTTCAAATGAAATGTGTCTATATTGATGTGTCGGGAACGTGCGATCAAATTCATATTAAAAAAACACAAAATGACTTTTCTCTGTTAGAAACATATTGAAAATTGCTCTAAAATTTGCTCCATTTTACAGTGTCTGATATACAGAAGATTTAAAAACGGTTATATGTGACCTGACAAATCGAAAGAAAAAACTGTTTTAAAAATATAGTATATGGAGATGACCAGGAAAGTCTTTTTATATTCTAATGGAAGTATACTGTTCTTTCGTTATATAAGATTCTGAATTGACTCGCTGATTTAAAGGATCTCAATAAAATTATTAAAAAAATAATTCTTTCTTTTACACTTACGCGTAAATAGTATTTGTTACAAAATCGTTTTTGACATAATTCACAATAATCTTCCGTCAACGCATCTGCTGAATGATCATGTTTCGTAGGTGTTGATAACGGAGTAGTTTTTGTTTCTTTTGAAATCTTCATTGTATTATTAGTATTTTCTTCACATTTTTTAACATGTAACATATCATCAATAGAATCCGAGGGGGTAGCGAGTATTCCATTTCCATGTGTCGGAGATTTTGATGAAGAAGATGATGATGATGTTGTTGCTACGAGATTTTTATTAATATTAGATTTGTCTGCTGAATACTTAAAATGACTCATGACTCCGGGACCAACTGAAACTGTCGTTGTCATATCCAGTACGCCGTGTTTTTTAGCAAAATGTGTTTTTAAAAAATACTTATTACAAAACTCTTTTCGACATAGATGACAATAGGCTTCATGACGAGGAAGTGTCGAGGATGATGGAGAAGTCGATGATGTTAATAACAACGATGAATTTTCATTCACATTATCAGTAGTACTCGTTTCTGTTGTTGTTAATATCGGTAATATGATGTCATTACACGTTAAATTATTTTGATTACTGTTCAGTAGTGTATAGGATACAGGCTTGATTGTATTTATTGTTGGCGAAGACGAGCATGTTGATGACGATGAAGATGATGAACAATAATGATGAGGAGAATGAGGAGAAGAAAAGGAAAGAGGAGAAAAATTAGTTGCTTGCATACTATTTGTTAATGGTGTCGAAATATTATTATCATGATGCTCCGATGATGAAATTGAAACAAAATTTGTTACGAGAGACTGGTCAGCTATTCGCTCATGTCCGATGTCTCCTAAAATAGAACAATGGATAGATACTTTTTGCATGAAAATTTTGAATTAATGTTATAGATTTTAATTAAAAGTTTTGTGAAGTTAATGGAAGAACTTTATTCATTACATCTTGCTAAAATCGATCGACATTTTTACTATAACAATGTACCAAACAAGGGGAAACGAAATGTTTTTCTATTCTGTCAATTCCGGTGTTCGGAAAGTTCAGTCTTAGAGAAAATGATTGTACACGTTTCCAATATAGCGTGTCCTTTCTCTTTCAAATCCTAAAAGGAATACGTTTGAGCAAATGACGTTTAGAAAATCATTCCTGCGCTTTTATAGAGCGGACAATATCCGCTTTGGAATGAGTATCTTCGCATGACCTCGGAAAGAAAACGGTACGTGCTAGCTAGAGGAGGAGATAACTTGTTCTATTTCTAGGAGTAATCATACCAGCATTTAACTTCTCTTCAGTACCACTGATATCACCAGTATTAGATTCATCCGATGAGTGATCAGCCGTTTGATGTTGACTGATAACTAATTCGGGATTTTCCGTATTTGGAAGGGTTTCATCGTTCATTAATCTAAAAAAAGAGTGAACTAGCCGTAGTGTTATGTTAGTGGAAACTATCGTCAAAACGTCATGATCTTACCTATTTGGTCTTATTTGTTTTCTTCTACTAATTTTCATTATACGTTTATTATGCTTAATTAATGAAAAATCATCGTTTGTTGTGGTAGTGGTTGTATGCTGATGTTGTTCTCCCTCTTGGTGTCCAATCAATTCAAGCTCATTTGCCATTTTCAATACTTGAATAATCATTTAATGAGAATCTATATATATATACAAGGATGTAGTAGTTTGGTATGAGAAGAGAGAACAAGAAGGAGAGAGAAAAAAATTTTGGGCCAAAATTGCTAAACAAAAAAAAAAGTGAATCATTAAATAATAATACTACTGTATATGTATATATTTTTCTTTTCCTAAATAAGTTTTTTTTGTTCCGTGTTTTCTTTTCTTGGATGATATTGTACATATGTACAATATTTTCTCTCGTTTTCTCAAAATCAGAAAAAAAAAATCGAACGGCAGCCCGTTTTATTATCATCATTATTGTAGCTCATCATCATTTATCGGTGTGTGTGTGTGTGTGTGTGGCAGCACACGTATACGTTGTACCGTAACGTACATACCGTAAGCACACAAATCTTAAAATAGAAAAGCAGAAAAAAAACACACATACATATCTATTCTTCTTCTAATTGAAATATAATAAAAGAGAAAGAGAACAATATAAATGAACAATCGTTTGACTTCCGTTCATTTTGAACAACTATAATAAATGAGAAAAAAACTATCATTTCAAATCTTTTTTTGCCATATTAACTGAATAGTAAAAGAGTAGAGATTACTACATATGTATAACGTATACCATAGATTTAGTTTTTGTTCTGACTGATTAGAAATAATTGAAAAATCCCATCATTCAGAGAATTATAAAAAAATAAACTGTTTTAAAGAAGCGAATATTTTCTAACTGAATGTTCATTCTATTAATAAAAAAATACAAGTCCGCATGTTAGCACACTAGTATCAGTCTCTGATCAAGGTGAGTATTATGAAATTTCATGATCAAAATAATAAACATTTTCTAAATGTATTTTGGTATTTGATAACATCAACGTCAAATATAAAGTATTGCCTTCAATATTAATCTAATTTTTGAGACTAGACGATATAAAAGCGTGTATATATTGTTGTTGTTTTTCCAATTGTTTAGAGTAAGAAAGAAAGAAGAATTACTGATGTGTTATCATTTTTAATAAGACACCCGTAATTCGAAGTTTCATTAACTTTCTCTTTTTTGATATATTTATACATAGTTGGATAGAGGACATCGAACTGAGTAAGAAAAAGTTACTGAAACTTCGAATTACGGATGCCTTACTTTTGAAACATTGCTATATATTCTACACACATCATTGACCTTTATTTTTTTCTCTTTTTCCCATATTTCTCTTATTTATCCAAACAGATAAAAACTGAAGATGTTTCGCAGAACAGAACAAAAAAAAACGATGTAAAATCTATTAGATAAAATACCAAAACTGTACAGTAAAAAAGAATTGTGTCTGTTCCCATCTGAATTATAACCGACGTTGATAAATGAGTAAACACGCGTATACATATATCGAGTTTTATATAGATGGATAGAACGATTTCCATTTATTAGTCAAACAATATTTAGTACATTATTATAGGAAAAAAGGAGAAAATATTTTATTAAGCAAGAAAAAATGAATCTAATCTATTAGAAATTAAACCGAAGACTTTTTTTTTAAGAAGATATTGGCACTCCATTTCTAAGAATAGACACATGAAACAACAAAACGTAGAATAACATAATATGTTTCAAAATAGAAGATAACTATTCATGTTTAAATTCATCTAACAGAATTTGATCATAAATGAAAACACACGATATCTTAGCTCCCTACTGCTCAAATAACAATACAATTTAAAGTGCCTTACAAATAGACTTTTAAAAAGTAAAAGATGATTCCATTCAATCAAAATGACAAAATACTTTTCTCAGTAATGCATTTGTTTTTTTTCGACACAACAAACTAATCTACTAATCATTGTTGAATGAATCATCAGAAAACAAAATAAATAACTAATGATCAAATTTCTATCCTGAAAATTTATCTATTATTGAGAAAAAAAAAAAGAAAAATTCTTAGAGATATGTCCTACATATAGAAAAATGATAGACTTCTAAGGAAACAAATGGATAATAGAAAAGTTGTACGTATGTTTCAAATCAATAATGAGAGAATGACATTATGTAAGCTCTTGAAGAGCAAAAAAAGCTCGGTATTCTGATATATATATATATATATGTATGCTGTTATAAAAAGAATATAAAAAAACAAATAAATTGTTCGTCAGGTCTATAGATGACATACGATAAGATCTCAGAAGATAGTTTAAAAAAAAAATAAATTGCTCCAATATCCAGAACGAATTGAAGAGAAAAAGAAATGGTTTGTTTTTATTCATCTCTAAATGGATCATAAATATTGTACATTAAGAAAATTTTTTCTTTGGTGACTTCTGAAAACTACCCTAAAGTGTACATCTAATTTCATTCTTTGGGACTACACACTACAAGGAACTATACGTTTATATATAGCAAGTTAAAGTTCCCATTATGTTTTATAAAAGGTGATTAGAGAAAAACTAGTTACTACTTTACAGTTAAGGTACATCATATACATCTCTAGTTTTTTCTAAAGAGGAAAATGAAAAATTAGTGTTCTCTTTTTTTTAATTAGTTTATAAATTGATTTCCCTGTGTGTTGCTGAAGCTCTACTTTACTGATAAGAAAACAGAAAAGTATATCTTTCTCCCTCTGTGCTCCTAAATGTACAGATGTTTAATTTTTATCCAACGTTGAAGAGAAAAAGTATGTTTTTTTTCTTTTTCTTGTAGATAGAAAAACAAAATAAATGTGCTGATGAACATTTGTATTCACAGAAAAGAATAAAAATATCTAAATGTACGAAATAAAAATAATATATCGACGCGTTTATTCAAACAAATCATCAAAACTGATGATAGGTAGATACCGCACACGATTAAAGAAGAAAACAAAAAACGAATTCCACTTTAACGGTTCAAGTACTTTCTCTGCATTCAATTAGATATAGCTATCGTACAATTAATCACAAATGTGTTCGCGAGTTTAAGTCAACTTATCTTCTATGGTGAGAAATTTCTTGAAAAAAAGACAATTTGTTGAGTGAAAAATATTGATTTATTAGAAATAAGAAAATCTGTATAGTCCTTAGAAGAAGACATTGATATATAGATATAAAAACATTTGGGGAAAGAAATTCAAATATTAGACCAAAATACAGTAGATGAAGAAAATCAATTTGTTGTGTAGACGCTTTTGTTCAAAACAACTTATTTTCTCAAGATTGATCTATCTCTTGTGTTGTTCTTCTTTTAAGGTGCTAAAAATGTGAAAATTCAGAGATGCGCGGCAGTGAAGTGTAACAGTGTAAGCGAAACTGAGGAAAAAGGAGTATTGGATCTTGATCCGAGGATATTATTAAAACTTGTGAACTGAAAAAGCTTTTTGAACATTGCATGGACACACAAATCTAGAGAGTAAAAAAGTTCTTTTTTTATTAATTAAGTGTATATGCATTAGTTTCAAAAGCAGATTATTTCTCACAAAAGTTCATCTTTCTTAACATGATTAAATAGATTCTATAATCCACTGTCTTATAATCCAATTAGCGAATGATGCCGTACGGTTTCTTTGAATTCAAATTTGTTTTCTAAATTTAGCTGAGTAAAAATAACATCGTAAACTAATCATTCTCAGACACGTTTTATTGACATGTGTTGATATGGTTCTCATCACACGTTCTAACAGTATGTTCATTATTGAATTTTCTTTTGACATGTCCATTAGAAGAAAAAAAAATTATTTATTTTTTTTTCAGTTTTGATCGTATGTACAAATATTACAAGAATTTTTATTCTCATTTTGTTAGTTCTATTGTTAAAAATCGCGATTTGTACGAATATATATATACATTCGAAGAGAAGATCTCACATATATGTTCAATATGAACTCCTCCCATCTTATTACTACATACACCCAGAAAAATAAAAATTGGAAATATATCGATAGAAGCTTGATGTTATTGTAAGCGGCACGAACGTTTCAATTTCCGTTTTTTGTTATGTTTATAGACAATGTTTAAAATACGAAAAAATAATATATATATAGTTTAAACATTCAAGTATGATCAAGACTGTATATATTATACTGTACCAATCTTTTTGTGTTTGTAGACAAGTCATTAAAAGTAACAACCGATAGTAAACGCCCCTATATAAATAGTTTCGAATAAATGTAGGACTGTGAAATTTGTAAATACACTTGCTACTTTAGAAGATATCAATTAGAATGATGCAAAAGATCTAATCAAGATTTAATCAAAAAGTAGTCAGCTCATGCAAATACTAAAAAAAATTTCAAAATTTAATTGAATTTTTTTTCTTAATTCATAACTTTTTTATTTTTCGCCAAACGAAATGTAATCTATATAGAGTGGATCTGAAACATTTTTCTATTAAAATTTTATCCATCTTGATTTGCATTTAAAAATCTAATATTTAGCTCAAAAGATAAGAAGAACTTTAATTCTCTATAAAACTGTCCATGTTTTTTTGAAATTATTTTCGAAAAATTTCAGCAGAATATTCACGATATTAAATTTTGTAGATCACATCATAGAATAACCTTAACCTCTTTTGCGAAGAAGCGTTGTTGATCTTTTAATTCAACGTTCATATAATTATTTTAATGTTGAAAGATGCAGAATTTTACGCTGTACAATCTAACACTATTTGTATTTAATGATTATTCTTTTTTTCGAGAAAGAAAGCCTTAAACTGACTGATTTATGTACAAAATCCGGAGGTTATAAAATAATATTAGATGCTACGAACGAGGGATCGTCCTCCTAGACTCCTAAGAAACTTTCATGAAAAATTCTTCCGAGAGTCACGTTGATCCAGAAGGATTTTGCTTTGTCACATAAAGTAAATATAGCACTTTCTACAGAATTTCGCGCTGAATTTAATAGTGTATTATATTTTGCTAAATAAATTTTTTTTATTCGGACACGCTAAGAAGAACCCCTTTTAGATAGGTGTTCAGCTTTCATAACGGGTCATTTTAATATTTTTTTAGTTTTACATCGAAGATTCAAAA